TAATCTTGGCTCACTCCACAGACACAGGGCTGGCTCTATCCCGTAGAAATAGCAATCTCAGGGCTCTGTTTCAGGTGTAGAGAACCTGCCTCATCACCTGTTCCAGTCAGTGGAGTCAGAGACCAAGGAATATTACACAAAGTTCATGGTTTTCTTAGCACAATGCTTTACAAGGGGAAAACATCTGTAACTATGATGAGTATAGGAGACGAATTACTGCCTAAAACCTGCTTGTTCCTTCATGGGAACATCTAAGAAGTTCAGACTTGCAAGGTACAAGGAGGATATCAATCAGCATCAGTTTTAGATGGTGTATCTACTGATTCACTTTTGGCTCTAAACTTTAGAGAGTTTGCCCTTTTATAAATTTTAAAACCTGTATCTTGGGTCTAATTGGACAATATCATGCCTATAGGTGAAGTATCTTATACTGTTCATTATTAGTTTTAGCCAGTTGTTAATTTCTGTCTCTTTGGACATGGAAAATATATTGGTTACCAAGATCGTGGGTGAAGAATTTCAACACCAATTAGAGCAGTAAAAATATAATTTATAATTATGAATTTAGAACTATTATAACAGTGAATTCTCTGCATTTGCTATCTTGACAAGCTGCATATATATGTTCATATTTTAGTTGTAGGCTACACTTATGTTGTTTTATTTGAATTTTTATCCACTTAAAATGTTGACCATATTGAGATATAGTTACACTTTCTCCTTAGAGTCTAGAATCTGCTGTGGCAAGATTTTTGAACAGTTTTGTGAATTGGTTAGACTATACAAAACCAAGAACCCCAAACTGAATCTAATTCTTAAAGTTTCAGTAAAGTAGTTTTGCAATTCTACTTATTGATAACATAGTTAAATAAAAAATTTAACCAGAAATAGAATCAGCTGGAATCTTGATCTTAGACTTCTAACCACTAGGACCATGAGAAAATAAATTTCTGTTGTTTAAATGGAAAACAAAATTTTCTAAACCAGTGAGTAATGAGAACGATCAGGTGGGGTCAGAAGGGAGCTAGAAAGGATGGTTGTTTGGCTGTCTGTATTCCTGTCTATACTCAGCCAGAGCTCCCGCTACAAAAATATATATTTAAGGAATAAAAATAGAGCCTGTACAACTTAATTTCTTTCATTTTAAAAAACAAAATAAGGTCCATTTTGAAAGATGTTGCATTATGTTTTCTTTTCCACCTGTGGACACATGGAGACATGTGATGAACTTGATCGTGTTTTAGATCCTCTTGGCAAAAATGTGCAAACTGCAGAAAACATGTTCATTTTAAAACTGTAGGCACATACGTGTGCTTTATACACATTTGTGTGTGTGTGTGTGTGTGTGTGTGTGCGCGCGCGCGTGAAAAAAAAAAAAGCAAGCCTGGGCCTTCCAGTGATTTTTACTTCAGTTTAGCCATAAGGTCACCGTTTATGAATTAGCAAATTTCCAGACACATTTGCCATCAAAATCTTTGCACACATTCTTTCTCCTTTCCTTTCTTTTCTGCCCTCCCTCCTTCCCTTCTTTCCTTCCTTGTTTCTTTCCACTTGACCTTAAGCTGTCTGTTTTCCTTCTCCCCTGGTTGGTTTTTCTCTTGCCTGCCTTCTGCCAGTCTCTGTGGGGCCCTTCTTTATATCCTCCCTCCCCTGCTTTCTCTGGAGTCCACTCTCCAAGCTCCTCAGTCTCTAAAATCATCTTGCCTGCTCTTGATCATCTTCCTCCAGGCACCTGCTCTCAGGTACTACTTAATTTAGAGTTGAATGTGGAAGGTCTCCGGGGGACAGAAAGCTTCCTCTCGGCTCTGGAGAAGAACCGGTTCAGCCCGGCCCCAGAGCGGCCTTCTGGCAGCCAGCCAGGAGGAGCTGATTCGTTGTAACTCTCCAGAGCAAGCTTTCAGGCTCCCTGAATGTGCCGTTTTTCTTAATTGTAATCCAAGAATGCTTTCTGAAATCTTTTTTTTTTTTTTTGGTAGCAGTTTTGTATGAGCTACTGGTTTCTTACTGATGACTTTTTGGTTAAAGGAATATTTTATCATTTTTTTGTATTAATATGAGTGAAAGGATAATTCTGTGCATTTCAGTACTTTGCCTTTTTCAAAGCTACGTCTACTTCCCCCTCCAAAGAGCATCTTCTTTAGGTGGGATTTTTTCCTTTCTGATAGGGTGAAGTACTCTTAATCCCTCAGTAAATGAACTGTCACCTGGGTAGGTCTCTCTAAGCCCACATGCTTCACTCTCTTCCCCTTAAGTCTTCCGGGTCTGAACTGGGAGCAGTTCTGGATGGGGATGCCGGGGGTGTGGAAATTCTGGCTGGTGACCTTACCTGCAGAGACTGTGGGCATTGCGCCTAGACATCGGTCTGCCAGGACTTTGTGTCAGGCAGGAAATCCTGTGAAATTCCTGCTCAGGGTTAACCAAACGGGAGCAGCTCTGAGCGGTTTCATTCTTTGGCCAGTCTCCTCCCTTATTCAAACTTACGAAGAAGCCTTTTGAGCCATGAATTCTTGCTGACAGGCTGACCCAGGGTCAGGATGGTGGATAAGGCTAAGAACATGCCATGATATGGGTGGATGGAAGCAAACATATGGAGAGTTGGTACAGACCTGGCATTAGAAGGGGTCGTAGTGATGATCACTAGAAGAACACCAGGTGATCATTAGAGATGGGGGTCCTCTCTAAAACAGGGGTCCTAACCCATGTAATATCACGATTAAGAGTGTGAGCCCTGGCATTGACAGGACTGGATGCAGATCCTGGCCTTGCTACCTATTGGCTGTTTGATCTTGGATCCTAAGCCTCAGTTGTCATTCATGTCTGTGAAATGGGCATAGGAATAGGATCAACTTTCTAGAGCTCTTATGAGGATTCATTGGGAACAGGTATAAAACGTTTTTAGCACGTTTCCTGGCACTCAGTCAACGATTAGATTTTACTGCTGATTTAGGACTGTTTCTACTCTATTGCACTGCTTTCTGACTTTTCTCAAGAGTCAGGTTAAAGACAGTAACATATAGTTGTCTTCATTTCCCTGACCCCATGAGCTAGAGAACTGTGCACCTGCCCAGCAGGGTCTTCACACTAGGGTATGCGTTGCACCCCTAGGTGTTCAGCAAAACTATGCGAGGTGGGTAGGGATCGTTTTAAGGAGACCATTCCAGAGCCTCAGCTCCTAGGTATTTTTTTTTCTAAAACCAAGACTGTTCTGCACTTAAAGTGTTACTGCAGGTCTTTTTTCCAACCTCCCCTTTCACACTTGCCTTTTTGCCATTTTTCTAAAGAAAGCCATCTCTCTTACCCATTTCAAATCTTACCGTGATGTCTTGTCCTCTTGTGTTAAATCAGTGGTGGCACAAGATTAAAGGGGGTCAGTTCTGGATGGAGATGCCGGGGTTGTGGAAATTCTTGCTGGTGACCTCACCGGTTTCAGCAAAGTTTCCTTTAAATTAAACCACCATGCTCCATCCCCGCACCAGGCCCCATTTCACTCAGAGTTGCATTCTTGGTAAAATTTTATCTCTAGGGTTTAATGCATTGAAATATGATCATTGTTTTGATCATAGGTTATTAATGATACTTGTGATGATTATATATAATCTAGGAGAGCCTTTATACTTGAAGGTCCATGGTCACAGGAAATTTTAGAAAATTAAATTTAAAAATATATTTTTGTGTTCATTCAAGTATGGTAGGGTGACTTATAAGATATCCTAACAAATATTAGGAAATTTAGGGAGGGAAGTTGACATAGAAATGAAATTTCAAGGAGAAAGAAGAATCATGTAAAACCTCCAACTATCAAGAAAAGCTTACTTATTTTTAAATGAGTGATATTGGGTATCAGATCATCGAGATTTTTATAGTTGATTGGATACATTTAAAAGAGTATAGTAACACATGGTTAAAATGCCTAGATTTACAATTAGTAGGAAAATACATCTTTGAAGTTCTTAAAGCTTAGGAGGAAATTTTGAGAAGTCAACTGAAAAATAGGTCTAGGGGAACATGGTTTTTACATTTTTTTGAGAAGTATGATAGCAGAGATGTTTGAAGACCGTGTTACATTTTATTGCTATGAATTTTTGACACAAGGGGAAGGCACTCTCCTTTCTTGAGGCTCTTCTTTCTGTTAAGCACAGGATTTAATTGGCTGGAATTTGATATATGCCTGGCCTTGTACTACTATAATTTTTAACTGTGAAACTTAAATGTTTTTCATGTGGCCGACTCAGTGCAGGTGTATCAAAAGAGACACCAGGCCCTGCCTCCATGGAGTTCATCGTTCAGCGTCTACTCTTTGGTTTAGAAACCACCTTAGGGTGGGAACTGTAGCAGTCAAGTGTTCAGGTGTGGCAGTTGAGGTAGGAGCTGCAGTGATTCAACTCGGGTTCCAGGTGCATTACTCCAAGTGTGGTACTGGTGATCTTGGTTCTTGTAGGTACTGTTGCTTCTCCAAATAGTGTTAGGTTAACATCTTTATTTGTCAGAATTCAGTGTGCTTAAAGACTACTGCAGCTGGGACTTTGTTTTCTTGTTTGATTGGGTTTTTATAAAGAGCATTGGTATTCTTCTGAGTCTTTATGAAAAATAGTGTTAAAATTACTCTTCCAGTGTGAAAGGATGCCTTATTACTATCCAGGAATCCTGACAGTAAACTCTCATTTTCTTTACTGTCAAATTACTTCACTTATGTATTGGGAGATTAATTACATAAGTATTTTAGGACTGTCCAGAACTAAGACTAGAACAGAGTAACTCAACCTGATCAAATAGTGTTCTAGACACTTTTCATTTCTTTAGTGTTGAACCATGCTAATTTAGTAATGTGATTAAATGTTATTTGAGGGCTGTGAGACTCAAAAGTTATTATGGGCTGAATTTAACATTTTGCATAATTTCTCTTAATTCATTTTTGAAGGACATAGAGTTATGCCCTTACATAATAAAGAAGTTGGTTGTTAAAGTAAACGAGCTCAACTTTATTTTGCTTTTCCCCCTAGGTGAAAAGAAATGGATTATCTCACACGGTTAGCCAGGAGGAAAGAAAGAGGCAAGAGGTAGGTTTGGTACCGAGCAGATGCTTTAGAGTTCTGACTCTTAACGGGTGCAGGTGCTTTCAGCTGCTACATTCAGCTTTTTCCTTTGACAACATATTAATTTTGTTCTTTTTACAAAAGAAGTATGTGATCATTGTCAAGTAAAACTACACAGAAGTCCCCAGAAAAGAAAATTTAAAATATCCAAGTGTCTTTTTAACTTAAACAAGAAAGCACCTAGTCTAGGTATTTACACTGGAAGAAATATGTGGAAAAATGAAACACGTTAGATCCGGGAACTGAAAAAGGATGTTAGTGAAAGAACTGGTGAAATCTGAATAATGTGTGTTCATTTGTCTACAGACAATGTAACGTACCCTGGTTAGGGGAAGCTAGGTGAAGGAAACACAGGAACTCAGAACCCTCTGCAAGATTTCTATAAATCTACAATTATACCAAAATGGAAGTTTACTTTCAGGTTTAGGGTTTCACAACTTGAAGTTTAATCAATGTAGTTGAAGATTGCTCATTGTAATAATATTGCAAGTTTCTCAAAGCGCTTTCCTTCTGTCTCATGCATATTTGATGCACATATATGTATAAGTTTATGCATATACATGCGTTAAATCAGTTCTACAGAGGACACAAGGTATTCTTTTCTTACTGTATTCACATGGAATAATGCAAAAATATTAGGGCACATTAGAGTGGCATATTTTTTGGATTTAAAAAAAACCCCAAAAGTACAGACATTGGTGAACCTGTCACTGAGAATTAACAAATGTATTACATTTATAATTTTTTCTTCATTTATTTAAAGTAAAGAAGAATATACATGCGTTAAATCAGTTCTACAGAGGACACAAGGTATTCTTTTCTTACTGTATTCACATGGAATAATGCAAAAATATTAGGGCACATTAGAGTGGCATATTTTTTGGATTTAAAAAAAACCCCAAAAGTACAGACATTGGTGAACCTGTCACTGAGAATTAACAAATGTATTACATTTATAATTTTTTCTTCATTTATTTAAAGTAAAGAAGAAAACAAGACTTTTCAATAAAGCAGAAGTTCTACATTTTCCTCCTCAATCCCATTCCCTTCCTCTCCTCCAGAGAGGCAGCTATAATTATGAATTGATGTGTATCTAGCCAGTCTGTGTTTTTAAAACATATATTACATGTATTCATGTATGTATATTCGTGTGGGTGTTAAAATGGAGATAAATGATATGATTCTGAATATGTTTTTTATTATTTTTTATATTCAACAATGTTTTTGAGATTTTTTTGATCTATATTAATGCAGATTGATCTAAATCACTCATTCAAACCACTATATAGTATTCCATTCTATAAATGCCACCCTTAAAAAATATATATTCTAATGATGGACAGTAGATGGTATGTTTCTTTCTTTATTAACATTGCTGCGTAAACAATATTTCTCTCTCCTTATGGACAAATTCAAGAGCTTCTCCAGGTTTCTAGTCCCATTTGAACATTTCTATTCTTTCAGACCTTTCCCATTTGGACTTCCTCTATTTCCTTTATATTTTGAAAATTTTTGTTCAGATTTGTCATGTAGAAAGATAATGACAGCAGCAAATCTAGCTCTGATTCCTTTCTATTCTTACATAGCTGTTTTAGCAGGTCTAACCTGATCTACTTGTAAGTAGTTGATGGCTCTATTGCAAGATGTTTTAACAAGTTACTACATTACGCTTATTATATTAACAATTATTACATTACACTTACTGTATTAAATTGGCCCAATTTCATATTTTCCTGTAATCTAGTCTATATAGTTCATCACATTTTTTCAGATCTTTGCAATTTGGGTTTGGCTACAAGAGCCTTTGATTTTGAAAACATTTCCAGTCATTACAAAGGACCATATCCATCAGCAACCTGAATCCATTATTTTTGGTCAGGAAGGGTGAATTTTCTTTAGTTTGCATTACATTTCCTGGGGATAATTGTATTGATTGAATAGAATTACACAAGATACACAGGTTAAGTGAGACGCAATGTTCTTACTCTTTACTCAGTAGATGATTATATCACTCAAGTCCCTGGAGTACCACAGAGGTTAGAAGGATCCATTTAATTAAGACTTCTGTAGAAGCTTATGGATGCTGATAAGGGAGGTGAGCACTGAGACTAGCCCCACTGACCTGACTTGCAAAATATGGCTCACCTGGCGGCAGCAGGGCATCCACCTACCTGAGCCTGCCTGCTCCCACCCAGGCTCAGCAGGAGCACAGAGACTTAACGGGAAGAGTCTCCTATGCCCCTGGGGCCAGGCCCTGAGGGGAGGAGCCCAGGAAGCCACGATGATGATGGCAGTATTACTAGGGAGGTCTCCAGGAAGGCTGGGAATCTCAGACCTTTGAGGATGTTCACGACCCTTCCCTGAGGAGGAATTCCCCCTGCCTTGCCATACTTGGAGAATCTGATTTTGTTAACGAGCTAGCTGAATTCCTCACACAGGGCGTTGGTGTCTCTCCACATATGTGGGTTGGTTTTTCATCATTCATGAACACTTATCAGGTAAACCACTGTGTGCCTGACACCAAGAGTTTCTGCCCAGGGTCCTTCGCTCCTACTTGAGACACTGATGAGAGCAGAGAGGGTGGCTTGTGGAATGGACAGAATTACTTTCAATTGTATGAATTTATGTAAAAGAATTCCTGTGGCTGATAAGAACCTTTAGAAGGGAGGTACAGTTAGGCTCTTTTAATACATTTAGAATATTTGTTCTTATTGACTGCAAGTTAGTCAGATTATAAAAAACAGAGAAAAGGCCCACAGGGGAGCAAAGAAATGTATTTGTGAGAATTTTTCTCTGAATCTCAAGTGATGTCCATAAATTTTCGCTGTCCCAGAGTAGCATGCTTTGAAATCAGGGCTGGGGGAGGTGACCCCAAAGGTTATAGTTAATGTCACACTGAGGTTTTATGACATACCCTGGCTTCCTCTATTAATTACATCCCCTGGCAAAGCGTGACCTCAGGATGCAATCTCAAGTCATCCAAATCCTCTCATTTGTTTCCTGTTTACACTCCAGGCAGTGACTCTGTTTCTTGAGATTTGGGTATACGTGCCTTATATAAAGACAGTAGTTTGGTGGTGTGTGTGTGTGTCTGTGTGTGTGTTTAATACTTATCTTTTTTATATTTTTAAAGATACATCATTCTTATAGCAGAATTATGAGAGCTATATTTAGTTCTTTAATTAAAAGAATTAATAACACTTTTCTTCTTCCTTCTCACCAGGCTATCTTTGAAGTCATATCCTCTGAACATTCATATTTACTGAGCTTGGAGATCTTGATACGAATGTTTAAAAATTCTAAAGAACTGAGTGATACAATGACCAAGACAGAGAGTCACCATCTTTTCTCCAATATTACAGATGTCTGTGAGGCAAGCAAAAAGTAAGTTCACTTTTGTTTGCCATTGGTCATTCCAAGACATGACTTACTGACAAACATCTGTGTTATCTCAAAAGGAAGACATTTAGAGGTATGAAGTCTCTCATTCGTTCAGTTGGCTTTAATCTTTATTTCCTGAAATACGTTTTAAGATCTGTGTCAGGTTGTTGACATATAGGCGGAGACAAAATGTGTGATTCATTATCTCGCAGATGTTTCCATCTAAGGTCTCTATTCCTTCTTTTCCCTCCGCTTCGCCTTTTTCCCTTTTGTTTTTCCTTTTTGATTATGCCAGTAATATACCAACATTTAGTTGGAAGGGGAAAAAGTAACTGACAATCTTCAAAACCAAAAATTATTTCTGTTTACATTTTCATAGCCTCATCCTTGTTAAGATGTGTAAATACTATTTTTAAAATGCAGTCATAGTGACCCTAACAGTTTCTGTAGGTTTTCCCTATTTTACTTTCCATAAGCACTATTAGAGAAGTTTTCACTATTATTTTTAATGAGTGCAGGGAGCTCAGTGTGTACATGGCTGGCGAGCTCTTACCTCCTCAGAGTGAGCTACACAGCCAGGACTGGAGCCATGTGCCGGCAGGGTACTGAGCTGAGCCATCCCAGTTGCTTGTTTGGTAGGTCAGAACGACTTGAATATTGGCAGTTTTATATGGTTGGGTCCAAGGTGGGTTTACTGTACAACTAATGAAGCTTAAGCTTCAAAGCTTCTCACTTGCAAGGGCGCCTTTCAAGTGTTTGCTTTTGTGCCTCCTTTTTTCTTAGAGGGCCTACAAATTGTACAGGCTTCAGTGTCCACAAAAGTGGATCTGTCCCTGGGGTGAGTACTTCCTGTGAATCAGGGCATTGCTTGTTTGTCACTTGAGGGCAGAGCTGAGTAGACAGGGATGATAGCACGTTTGTGTCCCTGACACTATCGCGGTGCACAGGCACATTTTCCTTTTGAGCTACAAGGCTGAACACCCGTGCTGAACAGGTTAGCTTGTGAGTCGGGGCCTCTTCAGAGAGAGAGAATTCATGGTCAGCTCCCTTCCCCTGCGGTGAGCCCTCCACGTACCTTATGGTAGTGGCACAACTTCAGAAGCCAGGTTCTGCCACAGGAAAAGATCTTGGCCACCTTGTTACTGACATGAATACTTTAAAAAACCTGTTCGGAGGACCCACTGGGCCTTAGAGAACAGGGCTGAGTGGTGTCCGGGTGATGACAGGCACTGCAGCTTGAGGTCCTCTTTCAGAACCTGGGCCATTGCTTGTGTTCAGCCTTTTTTCTTTTTTTTGGTACCAGTCTTGCCCATTTGGATAAGAGAGATGAAAAAATCTCCTTTCTCCCTTTAGTGAAGAAGGCAGAACAAGAGCCTTAGATGGTATGTCCCAGTTCAAAAGGTATTCAGATTTCAAAATGAGTCTTTTTCATTTTAACTTTTACTTCAGTTTATGTCCAAAAATAAAGCTCCATATTAGATACATCACTATAAAGAATGATTACTGTTGTGATAACTGTAAAATGTGAGTCAAGATTTTAATTAGGAGATGTTTTCTGAAAACCACAGTGGCGTGTTTTTATTCTTCTACAGAATTACTCTTGGAACCGAGTGGCCATCCGCCAGCTTCTCACAGTGTGTAAATGGCTCCAGAGGAGCTGTCAGTAAATTCTGGTGGTTGAGTAACAGCAGGGCTTGAACAGAGGCTGTTTTGGGTCCTTAAGCGCCTTTGGGCTTCTGTGGCACTGCTTGTGTATCAGCGTGCTTCACAGGGAGCCCCGGCCCCAGCAATTGCTTCCTTTTCCTGTACTTTCTTAACCTTGAGAAAGTTGCTAAACCATGCCAACTCACTTCTTATCTAGAAAACAGGGATAAAAACATTCCATAATTGGTTAACCCTGAAATAAGTCATTTTGTTAATTATAGATGAAAATTTAATGATTTTAATTTCAATCAGTTACAAAATTTAAATCTCTTCTGATTTTATTGAAATGTTTTCTTTTCTGTAGTAACTTATAATAAGAGGCTCTTTTGGACATTTCATCTTTAAAATAAAACTCAGGAACTTCTCAGCCTTCATTCAGTGATGAAGAAATATCCTTATCATTTACATTTTTGTTTCATTTTTATTTGAAATGCAGTGTTTTATTTTGGATAAGTGCCTGAGTAATATTTGGTCTCTTCTATAACATGTTTCAACTAAGAAAGTTCAGCTTCTACATGATAATCCTACGTCTGCATCCTAATCACTTACATTACAAAAGTTTGGTTAAGTTTGAAACAGTCATTTCAGATACAGCCTTTTTAAAATTCAAAGTGCTCAGATTTACAAAACCTAGTTCATTATGTAATACCTGCTTGTCGAACTTCCAGTGTGTGGTGTCCCACAGTGACTCTTAAGTGATAGATAACTCCTTAATGTGCTACCCATGAAAGGGTTTCCAGCCTTAAGAAAATGTAAAATTTTGATTTTTTTCCTGACTAAAGCAAATGATCATTGTCTAAATGAATTACTGAAAAAACGTGGCATTGTTAAGTGTGGCATAAGCAAGACCATCTTCATGGTTTTACTTTTACCTGATGAAAATTTGTAGCTATATGTGATGGGATATTTAGTGGAGGCTGAGGTCACAGCATGCTCAAGGTTCAGCTTAACAATGTGATGTCTGGTCCCCTTTACAGTGGTCCAGGTTCTTCACTGTTTGCCAGTAAATGATACCACGAAGCCCTTCTGGGTAAGATGACATTGTGTGAAGACAGCCAGGCAGGGACAAGAGCATTCTGATTCTGGGTGTGTGCATTTATCAGTGGATGTTCCTACTAAATTCTTTTCTGCTTTATAAAAAATCGTTCATTTCAGTCAACACTTGTGCAACCTCCTGTTCTGACAGATGCCTGGGTTCTAGAGCCTTTCAGCTGGCGGCATCTGCCCTGAGGTTCTTGGTCCTCAGGGGCTGTTGGTGGCTGGTGGAACCTCCACAGTGTGTGTGCAGAGGCATCCTAGAGGAGTGTCCTGTCGCCAGGTGGGCTGGTTTGGGTGGTGCTGGAGATTATGGGCTTTGGACCCTTGGTGAGAATCACAGGCCAAGATGAGAGCAGATGGTGAAGGCCTTTGTGTGCCTGCTAAGGGTTTTTTATTGTTTCCTGAAGGCTAGATGGACACAGTGAGCAATTAAGTCGGGAACCGACATGGTGCCCTGGGAGATGACAGTAGTGGTATTTGCATTGGGGTGAAGATTGTGAAATGTTTGGGGCCATTGCAGTAACACAGCCAGAGAAGATGGGAATCTGATAGGAGTCCTAAGATGAAGGACTTGAGGGGTATTTAGAACATATAATCCTGAGGACTTCGTGAGAGAGAGAGGGAGGAGTTTTGTTTGCCTCCCAGGTTTCTGCCTGGTTGACCGTGGATGGTGGTTGTGTCAGCCAGGGTGTGAGAGAAGCAGGCTGGGGTTAGTGAGAAAGATAAGGAATTCAATTTGGGGCAAGTTGAAATAACTGTGGTGTGTAAGGGGAAGGTTTCTAGTTGAAAGGAGAAAAACAAAGTAGAATGCCAGAAAAATCTTGATTTGACATTGATTTGAGTCATATAGGTTCTCGACGCCGTGGGTTTGAATACTGGAGCTTGTAGCTGTGATTTTCAAGTGGCGATGCTGGTGATTGTGTTTGCCTCCTGTGGCACTGGAAGTGTGTTTTTGGTTGCCCCCGTCACCTGGGGACTGTACTGGCATTGGTAGGTGGGGGCCAGAGGTGCCAGACATCCTACAATTGGTAGGACTGCCCCAGATAAGCATGAATTGTTCCACCTGAATGCTAGTTGTGCCCTCCTGGAGATGCATGGATAGAATAAAAAGAAAAGGAAAACCAAGGTCAGAATTTTGGCACAGAAACATTGAAGGAGCTTGGGAGTTGGGATAACTTTGAAGCCAACAGGAGAACTGCATAGACCCTCTCTCAAGCCCCTGGGCTGCGGAGGGTTTGCCCCTTTCTTTAAAGATAGTATCCTTCCGGTCACCTTCTCAGTTGGTGCCAGGGGCCAGGCAACTGTTTGCTTTGTAATCCTCCTTACAGGCATATGTGGGGAGGCAGCTGGAACCCTGCTGGTCTTGTATTTGTCCCCTCCTACAAAGAGTGCTGCTTTTTTCTTGAGATGATTAGAGATAAATCCTGTAAGTACAGGCAGTACCAGTCTGCCTTTGGTCAGTAAGGGCAGAGCTTTGACCTCTCAGCTCTGGACCTACTTCCTTTTGCCTTTAATTGCGTTAATTTTCCTCTGACTCAGATGCATGAAATCTCCCTGGATTCATGGTCTCCCTGTCTTTTAAGGTCCAAAGATGTCCTAAAAACCTAATCACCCATGAAAAAAGGGAGTATTTCTTTTGTTTAGAAATGAATAGGCTTCATTCATAACCAAACCCCACACATAGTATATCTTTGCATATTTGTATGTATGCTCTGATTATTCTTTTTTCTGTTCTGCCTCCACATGTCTGTGTTCATTTGGAATAATTTATAGACAATTGCCATATTAATAGAAGGCCTACAAGTAAGATTAATTTACATTAATTTGCAACAGAATATGATCTCAATTCTACTTGTTTTTAAATTTAAGATACACTGATGGTGAAAGACTGATAACAGGAAAGGAAATTGCTTTTTGTATAAGACCGAATATTAACCCTACTTCTGTGTTTAGAAACACCAAGGTCTAAGTGAGATGTTTTGTGTTAAAAAGTTTTCGACAAAATGAAAATTAGATGATCCTCTGTTTTGATGTTTTATAAAACAATATGTTTTTACTCTTAATTCTGAGTTTTCATTCTAAATATCTAGATTACATTAACAATATTTCATTTGCATTTTTTTCAATAATAGAGTATACTGTTTGTATAAAAATATGCTGCTAAAAGAACTTTGCAAGATGCTTGTTTTTCTTTTTCCCATTACGAAGTTAAAACATCGGTATTTCTTTGGTAAGTAATTTAAAGCTAAAACTATGCTGTC